GCTCACCATGCTCCTGCGGGGCCGGGCCCCCGGGCACAAGCGAATCCCAGGCTTGCCCCCGCCTCGACGCACTCGGATTAGCTGCAGCTGGCGCCCAGGGATTTGAATCTGGACCCCAGGAGGGAGCGCGCCTAGGCCGGCCTCGGAGCGGCGGCCCCGCGGACAACATGCTTCGCAAAGGTGAGTTGGAGCCGCAGGGGCAAGTTGGAATAGATTGCGCACGGGGCAGACCACGAGCCCGGGATCCGCCCGGCGCCGTGGTTGTGGGTCCGGGAAGCCGCCCCGGAGGGCTGGCGGGCTTTGCTGGACGCACCCTCGGAGGGGCTGCCGCTAGAGCTCGGCTCCCTTCGGTGGTTCGTTGCGAGACACAGGGTTTGCCCCGTGGATCAAGTGGCCAGGCCTCGGGATCTGGCTCGGAGGGGTCAGTCCGAGACCAGAGTGAGTGGCCCGTGGTGAAAGGGGAGCTGGCCTCCTGGGACCTTTGCTTTGCTATTACAAAGTTTTGCACTTGCAGGCTCCATCCCTGCGCGGGCACACGCCCTTGCTGCTTCTGCTTCGGCGAGGCCGGGTCCATCCCGCGCTCCAGTGCAGCCAGCGGTCGGTCACCGCGCGGCCCGGGCGCTCACCGCGCGCCCTAGTTCCCCAGGTGGGGCCCATACGCGGGCGCCTTCCCGACAGCCCTACTCTGATGCCCAGTGAGGGGCTCTGGGCACCCAGCGGTCGCGGGTGGGGAGTGCCAAGCGCCGGATGTCCGGTTCCTCAAACTTTCCCAAGAACCGAGGGACGCGAAGGCGAAGGCCGTGCCGGCAGTGTGCGCGACCGGTGCCAGGCTCAACTTGAGAGCTGGCTCCGCGACCACCTCGCCCAGGCTCCCCGGCAGCCCGGCCCGGTCCCAAGCGCGGCAAAGTTGGCTAGGGCACCGGGGAAGTCCCGCCGCGCCCCCACGTGGTTGCCGAGCGGGGCGCCGTCCCCTGGGCCCAAGGAGGGCAGGTGGCCACGCCGTGAGCCCACGGGCCCCGCCGCCAGCTACTCCGGGCTCTGCGTCTGCCTCTCGCCCCTTCGAGGTCCGAGCGGGCTGTGGCGCCCCGCCGGGATCCCCTAGTGCCTGGCCCGGGTCTGGCGGCGGACAAGCCGCGGCGCCTGCGGTTGGCTGCCCCCGGCCCTGCGGGAGCCGGCTGAGGCGGGAGCTCAGGTAGCGGAGGGGCCTGATCCCTGCGCTCCGCGCTCCAGCCTTAATCCGCCCCTGTTTCCATGGCAACAGACCGAGGTGTCGTAAGCACAGGATTCTGACCTCACAGCAGGATCGGGAAGGAGAAAACGGGCAGGGGGAGGTGGCGGAGTGGGGGGGGAGCGATGCCCCGAGATGGGCGGAGAGAAGCAGATGTGGGAGTGGTGGAAGAGACCCAGATAAGCAGGTCACACAGGTGGGTGAAGAAGCCACGCCTTCGGTGGGGGCAGTAAGCGCTGCGTGATGGTCCCGGGCTGACTGGGGAGGCTTAGTTGCCCCAACGTGTTGGGAATAGTCACAAACTTAGTGTGACTTGTGCCCTCCACGTGGGTCGGTGCAGTGAGGGGGAAACACTGGCTGCCTCTCGCTGTGGTGTGGAAAAAGTCTCTGCGGCTAGTTGGACAAACCGCTTCGCTGATACACCCCAGTTCCTTTTCTCTGCAGAAAAGGACAAAAGTCTTTTCAGCAACCAAGGTGTGCTGGCCAAAGTGTCTCTGCACAGAGAGAGTGTTTTTTACAGAACTGAGCACAGGCCCAGGTCTGAGAAGCTTGGGCTTGGAGCATGCAAACTTGCCCCAGTGGGGATGGCTTCCTTGGCAGTTTTAAAAGGCCGCCGTGTCTGGGCGGCAGGGCTGTGATGGAGATAATAGAGAGGAACTGACATCTCATTTCCCTTTTGGTCCTTTGTCTTTTGGCAGTTTACAGTTAAAAAATGAGCCACGAAGCAGCCCACGCACTTTATGTATGTGGTTAGCTGTCCAGGGAGGCTCCAGCAGCCTCCAAGAGCCTTTCTCTTCCATCCTGGCTAGCCAGAGGCCCAGCTCTGGAGCAGCCCAGTGCATTCTGGGGGCTGCTCCCTGGGGGGAGACTCCTTACCCTGCTCAAGAGGTGGCCACTGGAGGCTTAGCAGTCACATGTGTTTGCCACTTGGGCTGTTTTTTCCTTCCTGCACAGCCTGGTTGGCTGGAGAGGTTCCACCAACAAAGCTGTTTCCACCTGGATTGACCCAAGGGAAGCAGAGCAGAGAAGACCTTTGCTGGGCTGGGCTTGGCTTGGGTGGCCTGGGGACTGTGTCTGGGACACTGCGTGAACAAATGACTTTTGTTTTGGTCCTTTCCTGGGCAGGCAGTTTTCTCCTTGGGCCCCCGATCCTGATCCTCTGACTTTGTTTCTTCTGCACAGGTGTTCAGGACACTCAGATTCTCGGTATGGATTCTAGGTAGGCACCCAAAAGCCAAAGGTGTGCCAGAGGCTGTTGCTAAAGATGGTGGCCACTGAAGTGTCTACTTCTAGAATTCTTCCCAAGGGCTTCAAGCAAAATATCATAGGATGGTTTCAGATCGTTGTTGTTATAAGATACAGAGCCCTGTGTGGGGTCCTGGACCTGAGGGAGATTAATAATTTAATTATGATTTGGAAAAGGGTTTGAAGAATAAAGAAAGAGTAGTCATCCCTAGATCCTGGGGTGGGGTGGGGGAGAAAAACCCTGTACCATTCTGCGAAGGATAGGGCTCAGGGTCTTGATACGGGAGTGCCCTGTGGAGTTAGGGAGTTCAGTGGTATGAAGCCTCAGAGGAGGAGGAAGGTAAGAGCAGGCCTTGGACCATGAGGTTCATCCCTCTGATTTCTGGTTGTCTTATTAAAGCTGTGCCCTGGCAGACATTTTTGGGGACTGGTAGGTACTGCTTTGCATTTCTTAATGAATGGACCCTACTGGCCACAACCCCACCTCTGTGAACTAGAACAACCCCAGTGGGACCTAGCTGCTGACAGTGCTGGTAGCCGAAGGCTTCAGCAGCTGCCCTGCCTGCTTTTCCATTCGTGGCCTACCCTGGCAGAACCAGGGATATAAAAAGCAAGCCTCTGGACAAGAGATGAGAGGCAGGCAAGGCAAGTGAGGCCCCGAGCCACCCAGCAACATTCAGGAAGCAAGAGCAGCCTGCTGGGGGGTTTGTTTTGCCAGAAGCGACTTGCTTAAGGTCAGGATCTATGGTTTTCATTTTTAGAGCTGTAAAAACAGAATGCAAATCAAGAGCCTCTGGGCTAATACAGAACCTTTCCTTAAAGTTTTTGTCTTGTTAAGCAAGGAAATAGAGTGCCAAATAGGCTTTGTTAAGTGGCAGTCTAATTAATAATTTAAAATCTTGTAACTGTCTTTCATTAGAATTTATCTGTACATCAACCACAAAATCAGTCAAACACACTCATTTATAAGTTAATGCCATCCCTGAATAATTCAGCAAGAGCTAGATTAAGGCCTGCAACCCAGTAAGATGCATTTTGTTCTCTTGGTTGTCATAGCCAGATGGGCCGGCCTGGTGACTGAAGTGGGATTCTCCTTTGTGAAAAGAAGGGAAGGGAGAGGGAAAGGGAAGGACTGACCATAGTGTTGTCAGGTGGCTGGCTGATTTGACTCCCCAGAGGTTCCCGAGGTGATCGGAGAGTCTCCACGTGCCCACGTGCGAGCAGGCTCCATCTCTGTCTCTCTTTGGGGACAACCAGGATTGGAGCTATTGATAAGATGGCCATCCTTAACCCCGTGGCAAGGGGGAGAGAAGTGTGTTCCATGGATGGCCAAGCTACTCTTTGCTGCTGCAGAGGAAGTATAGAGGGAAAATGCTCAAGAGGGCTGAGATATGAGACTTTCTAGCCTAAACCCTCATGCAGAAGTGGAAATTCTGTCTTCCCAGCCCATTTCTGTCCCAATCAAGGAATTCAGCCTGGTGGAACCAATCTCACCAGAATGACTTCTTTTCTCAGGAGCTTCTGGGCTGCTTCTCTCCTCCAAGCTCCGAGTCCTTATGCCAGAAAAGAAAAACCAAGAGAAGGAATTTTAGGGAGGGCACCAGGACACCCTGAAAGGCAGAGTGAGTTGCTAAGTAAAGCCTATGCATGTGTTTTCTCATCAGTAGCCAGAACAAAAGCAAGGACAGCAGAGCAGTGTTTCCCTTGTGAGCTCAGACAACGTAGCAAATGTGTTTTGGTTCGGTTCCTGTCATGCCAACACAGGGTCAATCCCTTACTGCAGAGTGTTCAGGCCCATTTTCTACAGGAAAACTGTTCGTGACCCAAACTCCCAGCATGGGCACTGGTTCCTCCACGGCGGGAATGAACTCCAGTTTCTGGTCTCTGCCTCAGCCTGCCAGCCCTGAACCCTCTAGACAGTTAAATAGCTCTGTGTATGGAGACCAGGTAGAGAACTGGAACAGACGCTGCACTCGAGGCCAGGAGAAGTTCTTAGCCAAGTTTGAGAAGAGGAAGTCTTAGCAAGAGGCAGGGGAAGAGGTAGATGTTTGTCTCCTGACCAGTGGCGGAGTTGACAGCAGATAGAATCAAGGAGGGGGAGGTTTGTGCGGTGAATCCAGCTCCATGCACTGGCCAGGTCTTTGGGATCAGGGCCTGGAAAAGGCCAGAGCAATTGACTTGCTAGAGATGAGAAGGAGGGGGCAGGCATCACGAAGGATGTCAAGAACAGATCTGTTTGGTACCATCTGCAGTGAAGTAGTGGTTAAGGTTAAAGCAGAGAGGAGATGACAGGGAGGGAACAGATGGCCAAGGAAGCAAAATAGCTGGCGAAACGGGAACAGAGCCTCCAGGGACGGCAGAAGGCAGGACCTCCACATAGAGTGCCGGAAGCTGCCCTTTCCTCGGGGTGTGATGGCCAGACCACCCTGGGTAAAAGTGAGTTAGAGAGAAGAGTAGGGAAAGGACCCCAGTGTGAAGACCTAGGAGAAGACCGAGGGAGCCATGACTCCAAGGCTAGGGCTGCAGGAGCAGGGACCTCCCTGGATATCAGTGAACTGGGGAGAGGAAGTATCTGATTTAGTGTCCACCACTAGAGTGAGGCAAAGCCACCTCACATCTCACAGAGCATTGCCTGGCCAAGCCTTCTGGGAGGAGATGTGAATGTTAGCAGGAAACAGGCAGAAGAGAATAGATGCTTCTTCTCAAC